AATTTTGTCTACATCTCACAAACTCCTTGCTTACCTACGTAACACTTCTTATAAGTTTCTTATGAATTAGCTACTTAACACTTAAGAGTTTCATCATTCCAATTTTGGGGGTTGGTCCTCCACAGTAGTATTCAATAGTAGAATATATATGAGACTATTCTCAAATAATAGAGCAAACACACATTACACATAGAAGGAGATGAGTTCCCTAAGGAGAGTGGAGCTCCCATGCCAGCCCTGAGCTACATACCTTTACATTAGAGAGGAATTGACTTTTATTTCATTTAACCAGTGACTATTTTAGGTTGTCTGTCACTTCCAGGGGTATCTAACACTAACACAGGTGCACATAAAAAAAAAAAACATGAAAAATTTTTTTGAGAAGAATAATGGACGAGATTTGCTATTACAGTTGTATGCTGCATAACAATGTTTCAGTCAAAGATGCTCTGCATATACGATGGTGGTCCCAAAAGATTATAATGGAGCTGAAAAATTCCTACTGCCTAGTGACATCATAGCCATCATAACATCGTAGTGCAATGCATTACTCATGTGTTTGTGGTGATGCTGGTGTAAACAAACCTACTGCGCTGCCAGTCATATGAAAGTATAACACATACAATTAAGAACAGTGCGTATTACTTGATAATGATAATCAATGACTATGCTACTGGTTTGTGCATTTACTATACTATACTTTTTATCGTCATTTTAGAGTGTACTCTTTTTACTTACAGAAAAAATTTACTGTAAAACATTTTAACAGTTTACTCCAGCAGCAGCCTCATACATCTCGTCTTTGACGCGTCTCGACTGCATCATTTTCTCTCATGCTTGATTTAATCTCATGTTGTTTTGCTCATTGTGGCCCCTAAGTGTAAAAAATCCACTGCTAATGTTGCCAGTAAGAATCCATGTCAAGTGATTTACCTGGAAATAAAATTAAAAGTGATTAAGGATTACACAGGTGGAAAATCAGTGGTGGTTATTACTCGCCAGTCAGGCATGTCCCATTCCACCATAACTATGATCTTGAAGAACAAGAACAAAGTGATGGAAGCTGTTAAAGGATCTGCTTCATGGAAGGAAGGGAGACTAACAAAAATTCGACAAGAACCTATATCAGATATGAAGAAACTTCTAATGACCAGACACAGAAGCATATCCCTCTCAGCACCACGACGATCACAATCAAAGCAAAAAGTTTGTTTGCTATGTTGAAAGAAAAGGCTGGACCTGACTACGATGTTGAATTTACCACCAGCTCTGGGTGGTTTAAACAATTCAAGAACTGTTATTTATTACATAATGTGAAAGTGAGAGGTGAGTCTGCCAGTGCTGATGTTAAGGCAGCTGAAGAATTTTTGGAAACTAGATAAGCTGACTGTGGAGGAAAATTACTTGCCAGAGCACATATTCAATATGGGTGAAACCTCCCTATTCTGGAAACGTATGCCTGCAAGGACTTTCATTTATAAGGAGGCCAAGTCAGTGTCAGGTTTCAGGGGTTTTAAGGACAGGATAACAGTCTTGCTTACCAGCAATGTTGCAGGCTACAAGTTGAAACCCTTTGTGATCAGGCACAGGGAGAACCCCAGGGCGGTCGAGCATATCAATAAGCACACACTGCCAGTGTACTACAGGAACAATAAGAAGTCATGGATGACTCAGCTCCTCTTCTAAGATGCCCTCCTGAATTGCTATGCCAGCAAAATTGAGAAGTACTGTTTTTGCTTATTATCGATAATGCTCCGGGAACCCTCTTGTTATTAGTGATCTTCGTCCCGATATCAAAGCTGTATTTCTCCCTCCAAACAACACCTCTTTGATCCCACCAATGGACCAAGGAGTTAAACAGCTTTTAATGGGGGCCAGCCTGGTGGCACAGCAGTTAAGTGCGTGAGCTCCACTGCGGGGTCCCGGAGTTCGCAGGTTCGCATCCCGGGCGCGCACCGACACACTGCTTGCTAGGGCATGCTGTGGCGGCCTCCCATATAAAGTAGAGGAGGATGGGCACGGATGTTAGCCCAGGGCCAGTCTTCCTCAAGAAAAAAGGGGAGGATTGGCATCGGATGTTAACTCAGGGCTAGTCCTCCTCACAAAAAAAAAAAAAAAACAGCTTTTAAGGCCTACTACCTGAGGAGGACCCTAGCCCAGGCTATTCCTGCAACTAAGGAAGACACTGATGCAATTCTGGAAGGATTACAACCCCAAGAACCTCCGTTGGGCTTGGAGTGATGTGACCAAGGAGTATGAATGGCATCTGGAAGAAAACGCTCAAGAGGTTCATCCATGACTTTAAAAGATTAAAAGGATAAACAGGTTGCAAAAATCAACAAGGCTGTGGTTGAGATGGCAAACAACTTTACCGTAGATATAGATGAGGATGACATTGAGGAGCTCCTAGAGGTGATTCCTGAGGAATTGACTAATGAGGAGCTGTTGGGATTGGAACAGGAACGGAGATCTGAAGAAGAGGCAAGAGAAAAGGAAACTGCAGGAGAACTAAAAAAAGAACCTCCAAGATAATTCACAGTGAAGAGTTTAGCAGAAGCTTTTGCAGACCTCTACAAGCTCCTTAAAAAGTTTGAAAGCATGGACCTAAACACCAAAAGGTTTTCATTAACAGAGAGGAATGTTCGTGGTGCATCATCTGCTTACAAGCAAATCTGTGATGAAAAAAAGAAACAAACCAAGAAAACCACCATGGACATATTTCTGAAAAGAGTGACACATCCTTAAGAAGAGCCTCAGGCAGGCCCTTCAGGAGGTATTCCAGAAGGTATGTTTCTCCTAGGAGATGACAGCTCCATGCTTGTTATCGCCCCTGAATGCCTTTCAGTGGAACAAGATGTGGAGGTGGAAGACAGCCACATTGATGAGCCTGACCCTGTGTAGGCCTACACTTATGGATGTGTTTGTGTCTTAGTTTTTAACAAAAAAATTTCAAAAAGTAAAAAAAAAAAAAATTAAAAATAGAAAAAAGCATATAGAATAAAGATATAAAGAAAGAAAATATTTTTGTACCGCTGTACAGTGTGTTTTAAGCTAAGTGTTATTATGAAAGAATCAAAAACTTAAAAAAATAAAAAGTTTATAAAGTAAAAAAGTAACAGTAAGCTAAGGTTAATTTATTATTGAAGAAAGAAAAATCATTTTTATAAATTTAGTGTAGCCTAAGTGTGCAGTGTTTATAAAGTCTACACAGTGTACAGTCATGTCCTAGGCCTTCACATTCACTCACCACTCACTCACTGACTCACCCAGAGCAACTTCCAGTCCTGCAAGCTCCATTCATGGTAAATGCCCTATACAAGTGTACCATTTTTTATCTTTTAAATGGTATTTTTATGTTCAGATACACAAATACCTACCATTGTGTTACAATTGCCTACAGTATTCAGTACAGTAACATGCTGTACAGGTTTGTAGCCTAGGAGCAATAGGGTACACCATAAAGCCTAGGTGTGTAGTAGGCTATACCATCTAAGTTTGTGTAAGTACACTCTATGATGTTTGCACAACGAAGAAATCGCCTAACGACGCATTTCTCAGAAAGTATTCCCATCATTAAGTGACATGACTGTAAAGTAATCCTTTCTATGTTTTAGTAAGGTCCTACATTTTAGTAAGGCACAGCACTAGGACATCTACAAAATCCTTGTGAACCAACAATGAAACATGGTCAGATCAAAGTATAAATATGCTGTAGAGTTTATGTTATTGTCCATAAATACAAACTGGAACTCTGCACATGTTTGTGATTCCTCTCTCTCTCTTGCTGTCTTTTCTACCCTTGTCATCTCTCTTACTTCACATTCCTTCCAGAATTGCCTCCAGGGAACTTGTAAATTTAAGGTTAAGTCAATTCCGCGTTTGGCAATGTAAAAATGACCTTTAGGTTGATGCTTCCCCCTTCTGTTAGTTTGATTATTGTTTAAATATCCATTTTACACTAGAGCCCTATGAGGACAACGATTGTTTCTGTCCTGATTGCTGCTCTTTACCTAGTGCCTGTCACTTTCTGAAACTCAATAGACTCTCAATAAACGAATAAATAAACTGAGAGTCCTAGTCTTCCCTCTCAACACTTCATTTAGGGAGGAATTTTAGGCACATTAAGATCTATGATCTTAGAATACTCTGCACCAACCCTGCCCCAACTCCAAGATCCAACAGAGAAATGCCTGTTAGGAGAGAATTAGAGTGCAACATTACAGGCAGCCTGTCAATGTATGCTTGTTAATCTCAAGATATCTTGAAAATCTCTAGCTGAATTTGCATTTTGTTGATGATTCTTATCAGTCTCTTCAACGGAAGACTGCCACAGCCTGGCTGACTTGCTGGCTGCCAGCAAAGGACATTACCCCAAAATACAATGAGGCCTTGTTTCCAGGATGTTTAAGGCTTCTTCTCTCCCCTTTCTCTTATAAATCCTACCTGATCGTGTGCTTCAAGTCTAAAATGCCTCAATTACTTGCAAAACCACTAAAAGTTTTTCTTCCATAGGCACTCTTTTGTTTGTCTCCCTCCCAATGTTTTCCATTTACTGCGAAACTAATTTGTCACACTATCAGGGATACAGTATACTGTTGTCTTCCACTCAATGACTCACTTAAAAACAAAAACCACACTATTGCTTTCTAGAACAGCTTGTTTATAAATGATGCTCAATATATACTCAAGCTGTCCCGACATCTGAAATTTGCCAGCTCTAGATCCTGGGGAAAGTGCTGCAAAGTTAATCATCTTCCTAATTCTTACCCAACATTTCAGCAGCTAAAAGTGCTTTCTCGGTTTTTCAAACAGGCCCACTTACTCCTCTGTGCTTTCCAAAGTAATCTGCTCCAGCAAGATAAATAGAATGCCGAAATAGCAAAGATGAGAGTAACACGATGAGTCATATATACAATTTTCAGCCACGCAAGTCTCTCCTACAAACCTTCACAGCATTTAGTATTACGGCCCTTTACATGAAAGAGTGAGTGGCTCTGAAAAGAGCCTTTGGGTTTGATGGCGGCTATAAACATATTCACTTGGAGCTGGTGTACTTGGTGACGGCCTTGGTGCCCTCGGACACGGCGTGCTTGGCCAGCTCCCCGGGCAGCAGCAGGCGCACGGCCGTCTGGATCTCCCTGGACGTGATGGTCGAGCGCTTGTTGTAATGCGCCAGGCGCGACGCCTCGCCCGCGATGCGCTCGAAGATGTCGTTGACGAACGAGTTCATGATGCCCATGGCCTTGGACGAGATGCCGGTGTCGGGGTGGACCTGCTTCAGCACCTTGTACACGTACACGGAGTAGCTCTCCTTGCGGCTGCGCTTGCGCTTCTTGCCATCCTTCTTCTGCGCCTTGGTCACCGCCTTCTTGGAGCCCTTTTTCGGCGCAGGAGCAGATTTAGCTGGCTCAGGCATAATGAACAGTTGTCACTCTGAAACTCAGCAGAAACAATGCTGAGAGCAGAGCTGGCCTATTTTTGTAGAGCTTCTATGCAAATAGATGCTTAATCTGTCTCAATCCTTGATTGGGTCAAATCAACCAGTAGAAACGTTTTATGCAAATAAGGTGAATTCAAATATACGTTTTGATTGGCTGGTTGTGTGGGACCAATGCTAGATTCCTTTCTCCTTCCTCAGAAAAAGTAGTTTTCGTTTTCAAAGCAATGCAAAAAGTTAAGTCTTACCAACAGTATCTATTTATGAACCTTGTCTCTCCCTAGAGTAGGAACTAAAGAGACAAAAGCCTGATATAAACTTATGACGTTTCCTGCCAAATTGCAGTTACCCAGTTATTAGTTCTAGGAAGGAGAAATAGAAATTAGCTATTTAAATATCTTGAAAATTATGCCATTGACATTTGCAGTTTGTTCTGATCAAAGTTGGCAACATTCTTTTTCAAGAATCAAAGGATCGTCACATTTCAACAGCGGTGCAATTATTGTGTTCCCTAGGGAGAGCGTGTCTCGAAGCGATGCCAGTATTTGTAGGAGGGTACGGAATTATGGTTTAGGGTGCCTGCACTGCTAAAATAAACATTTCTTCAAAGTCAGAAGCTTTAATAAAAGAATAAAACTGAACTGAATCAATTACCTTCAAACGTGGAGTTTTTGAAACAGCTCAGGAACTGTGGAACGTTCATTTTCGCCTCTTCCCAAACATAATCACAAACAAGGGGATTAAAACAAAACCAAGGAACATGTAAAACATAACACACAAGGTCAATAAAGGGCGGAAAGGTATAAGTGAAGAGATAGAGCACATTCCATTAAGTCAAGGTTTACCTAGGGTGAGACCTGGTAGCCAATCACAAGACCTATCGAGTTACTTAATTCACGGCGCGGAATTTGAAGATTTGGACCAATCAGGAGGAGTTTGCCTTTATAAATAAGAGCGGGAACTGGTGCGCTTCCATTTCTGAACTCTGTTTGCAACCCCTTGTCATGGCTCGTACTAAGCAAACTGCTCGTAAGTCCACCGGTGGGAAGGCCCCGCGCAAACAGCTTGCCACCAAGGCAGCCCGTAAGAGTGCGCCGGCCACCGGCGGCGTGAAGAAGCCCCACCGCTACCGGCCCGGCACGGTGGCGCTGCGCGAGATCCGCCGCTACCAGAAGTCCACCGAGCTGCTGATCCGCAAGCTGCCCTTCCAGCGTCTGGTGCGCGAGATCGCGCAGGACTTCAAGACCGACCTGCGCTTCCAGAGCTCGGCCGTGATGGCGCTGCAGGAGGCATGCGAGGCCTACCTGGTGGGGCTCTTCGAGGACACCAACCTGTGCGCCATCCACGCCAAGCGTGTCACCATCATGCCCAAGGACATCCAGCTCGCGCGCCGCATCCGCGGAGAGAGGGCCTAAGTGTTAATTACGAACGAATGAGGATTTAAAACCCAAAGGCTCTTTTCAGAGCCACCTACAATTTCAATCTGAAAAGCTGTACACGGGTGTATGCAATCTATCTCCAAAACAGTGGTGGAGGAGCAGTTGGCGGCAGCTGTCGCTCCGGCTGCGGAGGAGTGGCGCTGGTAGACTGCTCAGCTCCGTACTCGGGCCTCTATCGGAGAACAGGCCAAGCGTTGAGACCCTTTCCCCGTTGGGCAAGGCGTGCCCTCTTGGCTTAAGCATTGTCTACTCACTTCTTTGGCTGAGGCCTGTTGTGGCATTTCTTGCCTCATTCTCCTTTCTCGGTGACGCTACAAACAAGTGTAGTGAAAACTTTCGGTTCTTAGAAAGCGGCCTTGGTTAACCTGTGGCAAGTTTCTTTTCCTGGACACCCTCGATGTGGGTGTCCTTGTAGAGGGCTTCCATAATTTGAAAGCTTGGGTTTGAGTATATTTCAACTCGGAAAAAGTCATGCGGCTGTAATTTATGTCCAATGCCGAACTGATGGCCATCGATATGGGAAATTAGCAGGCTGTCAAAGCCTGACAAGCTAGGGTCAACCCCCAAATGCAGTGACTAATACACCAGAAATTATATTAATCCTTATATAATTGATAAACGCTAGAATTTGTAGGGAATCCAATCTTGCAGGAAAAGAAAAGGATGTAACCTTGAGCAACCTGGGAAGCATTCTAGGGGGATATGATGCTTTATTGGGCATGTACAAACACTGATGTTCAAGAACCCAAGCTGAGTGCTGTATCAGAGTAGTTTGGTGGTAATCCATTTGCTTCTCTACTGAGCAATAATATATCCTAAAGTGAAGTTAGTCAACTTTTCTGCACACAAAGTAGAGATGTTACCCAAAACATGGGTTCCACAGGCTTTCCAGTTCAACTTCCAGCATCACCACCAGCAGAGTGGGTGGCAGTGCTGTCAGTGACACAGCTGGGCAGAGCACTACTGCACCAAATATGGGGCCTGAGGTAGTAGCTAAGTAAATGCAGCACATCCGGCATTCAGAGCTTGTTTGAGCAAGTAACTGAAAACTCACTGTGTGGAATGTGTCTGCATCCTGCATGAGAAATATGATATAGTCACAAAGGCAGAACTGGGACCTCGCATAGATAATGTTGAATAATCCCCTATTTGCTGGAAATCCCCAAGAGCCAATGAGACAACAGCTCTCAACTTTCCTCCAACAAATGTAGAATCCTATGACAAACCCTAGAGCAATGCAGGGTTTGTGGATTCAGTTAGGTTTCACAAACATTAGCAATGGGAGCTTCCAGCCTTATCCCAGGGTTTACTCCTAGCCTGGGGTGGATTAGTAAAGAAACACTGGAGGCTCTTCAGGGACTAAGTAATTAGCTTTGCACATAAATGAAAACACGAGCCCTGTGGCAGGAACCACAGAACCTGGATGCCAGCAGTTTACTCAACAAACACTGCAGACTCATGCTGGAGTAAATCTTCAACTACAGAAGTCAGATTGCAGAAATAACTGGAACAGCTCAGGGCAATGTTTTTGAGCCTTGAAGCAAACTTGCAAGCGATAATAGGAACACAGTGTGATTTCTATGTGGCCATTGACAGGGTTGATAGGCTCCCAGTCATTATAGCAGCATTTCTCCGTCTTAAAAAAAATGTACTTTTAAGGTGGAATGCAGTAAATACGAAACAAAATACACCAAGACTGGAGGATGGGGTTGGGGGAGAAACAAAACCAAAACCCTCTACGTGGAAGTTTGTAACAGCTTTATTTGTAATAGATCTAAAGTGAAAAAGTCAATGTCTTTCAACTGACGATTGGTTGAACAAATTCTCGTATATCCATACAATTGAATCTCACTCAAAATAAAAAGGGAGGCTATTTATATATTCAACGGCCTGGATGGATCCCAAAGGCGTAATGCTTAGTGAAAAAAAGCCAATCTCAAAAGGTTACACATTGTATTATTCCATTTATATAACATTCTCAAAATGACAAAACTACAGATGGAGAACAGATTGCCCCAAGACAGGGATGAGGTGGGTGGATGTGACTATTGTTGGGCCAGGGGAAATTGCCCCCCACCCACCCTTCTGCATTCTTTTGGCTGGTCTAATAGTTAAATTGATCCAAGACAGGTTAACAGGAGGAAAAAACAAGTTGAATTTGTGTGTATGGAGGTCTTATAGAAATGGGACCTGAAAAAAATGACCAAAGCAAGCAGGTGTTATACATTTTAGAGAAAGGAATAATAAATTTGTGAGGAATTGACAAGACAAAGAAATTTAGGCTTAATTAGTAAAGAAGTAACAAGGTTTGTTTACTAATTAAACACTTTCCTAATTAGTGCTCAATTAGTAAAGAGGTTTGTTTATACAGACTTTGCCCTGAATTCCCTATCTCTGGCCATAAGGATGCCTCCACCTCCTGGTACAGCAAGGGCACCTTTCACATGGGAGATTTACTTCCTGCTTTCAGGGAACAGAGAGGGTCAAAGTGCCCTTTTTGCATCTGCTGCTTCTCAAGTAACTGTAATTCAAAATAATCAGTATGCCATTGTGGGATATTTTGGGGCAGCCTACTCTGAGCCTCAACAGTACAAAGGGGTAACATAAGGAGTTCCTTAGTGATGATGGACAAGTTTGTATTGGCATTGTGGTGGTGGTTACATAAATCTATAATGGGACAAAATTGCACAGGGGTATCCTCACACACATACACACAGACATGCAGAGGAGTGCATGGAAAAACTGGTGAGAACCGAATAAGGCCTGTAGTTAACAGTATTTTGCAAAAGTCAATTGCCTGGTTTTGATATTATAATATAGTTATATGGGATGCCACCATTAGGGGAAACCAGGTTCAAGGGACTCTATTTCAAAATAAGGTAAAAAAAAGCTGTCACAGTTCTATAGCAGTTGCTACTTTGTATGCTTGGGATTCCATGGCTTAACAAATTGATGTGACTTTTTTCATATAAACAGCAATTATTTGTTTTCTTCTGGCTGTTCTAGTGGTGACATATCCATTGGTCCGAGGTTTGGTTCATTTATGTTGGTACATAATTTTGTAGATATTGCTGCCTCTACCTCAAAAGTACCTCAAAAGTAAATTGAGTTTCAAATTTTGATATTTGTTATCTCAATTTACAAATTTACTATTGGGTTGCTTGGCAATACTATTTTTAGGAATTCCTTTGTTTCTTGGGATTTGGGCTTGTTTCATTTCTAGTGTGGCAAATGATCCAAGAATATATACGGGATGGATAAGTCTTTAAACACACATACACATACACAAACGAGGTAATTTCTTTTGTGTACATGTTTGACACTTCTGTTTAGAGTTTCTTATTTTCTAAATAGCAGTAAATCTCCCTATCCGGTGTTTACTTTAGGCCTTAGCAGCAAGGGGCGGGGACTCAGGGAGGTTTCCCGCCTTTTCCGGTCTTTCAGTTTTCAAAAAGGTCCGCACAATTGTTACATAAAACGCTGCAGGGAAGTTCCGTTTAATTGTTCTGACTGTAGTACTCGCTTGTATTCACTATGTCTGGCCGTGGCAAAGGCGGAAAGGGTCTGGGTAAAGGAGGCGCCAAGCGCCACCGCAAAGTTCTGCGCGACAACATCCAGGGCATCACCAAGCCCGCCATCCGGCGGCTGGCCCGGCGCGGCGGCGTCAAGCGCATCTCCGGCCTCATCTACGAGGAGACCCGCGGGGTGCTCAAGGTCTTCCTGGAGAACGTGATCCGGGACGCCGTCACCTACACCGAGCACGCCAAGCGCAAGACGGTCACCGCCATGGACGTGGTCTACGCGCTCAAGCGCCAGGGCCGCACCCTCTACGGCTTCGGCGGCTAAGCTTAAACTGCAAGCTGTTTCCAATAGCAGCGCTAAAGGCCCTTTTCAGGGCCACCTACATTTTCTACGAAAGGGCTCACACTTGCTATTGGGTGCTGCTCTGGGGGTGGCTTGGTCGCGCAAAATGCTGTCCATATATAGTTAAGTGAAGTCGCTAAAACGATTTTTACACTGCTATAGGCGTTTGTGTTGGCTGTTTTCTAAGGTAACACTTTCAAGACCAATAGGAGCGTACTGGTTAAATATTGCAACCAAGCTGGTAAGTGAAAAATCAATAGTTTTTGGATTAGAAATTTTATGGGATGTCTCGGCATCAGATTTTAATAGTTGTATTGCCTTTTCAAGGCATCTATACTAAATATTCTTAGTAATAGTAAGGTAATATAGGATGAAAGTTTTCCAGTTATGTTTAAGTTTATTTTTTAAATTTGTTTTGGGGGTGGTGGTAGTGTGGGGTATCCCATCCGTATTTCATACTGCTTAATCAAATCTATTAGATAACGATAGAATAAACAGTAACTAGCATGAACATTACCGTATGCCATTCTGAACGCATTTGTTGCACGCGAATTTTCTCGTGTGTTAAACCTATTTTTGATGAGATGATCAAAACATTAGGAAATCATTCTGCACCACCAATGAAATAATTGATTCAGTCAAAGGTTATCAATGAATGCTAAAATCTTTAGGAAAAAAGTTGGGCAACAGTATATTCACGTGCCCAGCATCCACACACACGGCTATTTGCAAATGGAAAAATGTATGTACAGTAGAGCGATGGCCCCCCCACGTTAGCTAAGTGATTCAATTTAGCACCGTTATAATTGATCAATGTCAAATTAATGTGCCTCCCCTTGCAGATTGTATAGAACATCACCTTTGACTATGGTGTAACTGGAATCTCATGGCGCCTCAGCCTGCTGATTACAGAGAGCATAAGGGATAAAGGAGCTAGTTAAACACTTATTTTCTTCATAAGAAGGAAAATCAGAATCCAGAATGTGGGACAGTTTGTTTCTTCAAAAAGTCATTGTCACAAAAAAAAGTTGGGATTGTTAAAGATTAAAAGAGACTCAAGCAGTATAACAACTAAACACAAGGTGTTAATTGAATCCTGGCTCTAAAAATAAAGCTATAAAGGGCATTTTGGAGACAATTGAGGAAACTCGAATGTGGACTGGACAGTAGATCATTTTATGAATTTATTTTTTTTTAGGTTTGATAATGTTGAGATTATGTGGAGAATTCCCTTGGTCTTATGAGTTAGACATTGAGATATTTAGGGGTAAAGTCTCATGATGTCTGCGATTTACTTTCAAATGGTTCAAAAAATTGGACCAAAAAATTTCCTTTCAAATAAATGTATATACATGTAGACATATACACAACAAGTGGTAAATTCTGCTCAGTTATTGAATCTAGGTGGTGATTATAAGGATGATTGACCAATGCATCTTTTATCTTTGTAGTTTGAATATTTTTTAAAATAATAATTTGGGAAAAATTAAACAGGTGACAAAATGTGTTGAAAACTGATCTGTATCATTATGAGAGGTCGTCTGGACAGGTGAGTGTAAAGATCTGCCTGCCTGCAGAGAGGGGTTGGAAGCAGCAGGACATATAGCTCCATAAAAAAGTTACAACTTATCTTCTGACCACAGAGAAGATGGGAGAGGGTGCGAGAGACACACACCAGCATTTTATTCCAGGAAGAGCCTCACTAGCTGACTGCCCCTCAGGGTGGCACTATCAGGCCCAGAGTCAATGCTAGACTTTTCAACCTCAGAATCTCTTTTGTTTTACTTCCTCTACGAGTACTCAGGCTCTTGAGGGAATGGATTCAATTTAAACTGCACTCCAGATAATTAATAAATAAGAATCCTAGTGTGTTTAAACTAAAATGAACGTTATATCTGGAATTGTGAACTTAAGGAGCTGAGGACTTCAGAGACCTGTACAAGAGCCGTAGAGAGAGACTAAGTGACTTGTCTGAGGTCACCTAGTCGCTTAGGACTGAAAGTTGAGTTTTCTGAGAGAATGCTGTGTTCTTTTTTTACTAAATGTCTGCTTAATTGGTAACCATCCATTTGTTTACAGATTGTGGTTGAATCAGACTAATAGTAAGGATTTAAAACTTACATTTCTCCACAGCTAATGGTTTTCCTCTTAACTGCTATATATGCTACACTGATATTCTTGGTCAGATACTTGGTCGTAATCTGATCACAACCATGTAGGTAGGAGATATTAAGAGGAAAAGGAATAGGGTCTCCTCTAGGGATATTTCCTCTACTTTTATTCATCACACACAGATGTCCTGAGCACCCACTGTGTGTCGGGTACTGTGCTAGGTACTGGTGTTATAGTGACAAACTAGAAGAGGCCTGCTCACAGGGAGCTTATGTTCTCATGACAGGAGACAGAAAATACAAGGTTGCATAGAGATGGTAATTTCAGATGGTGAACATGGCTGAGAAAGAAATAAACTGGGTGATGTCATAGCCAGTAACGGGGGAATGGGCTGTTACTTTAGAAAGGACAGCCAGGAAAGGCCTCTTGGAGGAGCTGGCATTGTATTTAAGATCTGAAGTTTGAGAGGGAGCCAAACTAAGGGTGCTCCAGGCTAGAGGAACTGAAAGAGGAACTCTCAAGGTGAGGACAGCTTTGTGTGTTCCAGAAACAAAAGGGCAGTCAGTGTAGCTGAAGAAAAGGGAGCAAGAGTTGCTGACTGAGCAAATTGAGATCCTACCAGGAACTAACTAAGAAAGGTAGCCAGGGTCTACTGCTTACAGGATCTTGCAGATGCTGATCAGGATTTTGGATTTTATTCACACAGAGGAGGAACATAATCCGGTTTACTTTTCACGTGTCAAAAGATTCACCCTGGAGAAGCGACCTCAGTACTTTAGTGGAGGTTGGAGTGGACGTAAATGCAGAGCAGTGTGGAGGGTATTGCAGAAGGGCAGGCAAGAGTGGAATCTGCCTCAGATTAAGGTGATGCAGGGGGTGGGGGTGGGGGTGGGGCATGGGAAAGTGGAGGGAGAAACCTAGTTTCACTGTGGGATTATTTCCCTTGGAGAGCCAACGAATCCTTAGACTCATTGCACTCTTTTCTCCCCAAAATGCTGGATACCCATTGAAAGGTTCTTTTCATCTCCTTTTAAAATAAGCCTCACGAGTCTTCTAGTAACCTCTGTCTTCATGTTGATACACAGTTTAAGGGTCAACGTTTATTTATTTCTTCATTTATTGAACAAATATTTCTTGAGCACCTACTGGGAGCTAGGCACTGGGTATAAATACAAACATGACAGGCACAAGCCTCACAGCAGTTCCCATGTATTACAGGGTAAAGAAGGAAGTGCATGACTAAGCACAACACTGCTTCACCAGGACAGAAGAGCCAGGTGTGCCCCTTTCTTTCTAATGTATATGAGTTGGTCTCTCTGTAGGCACACACATTCAGTTATGAATACTAGCAGCTATACATGTTTATTGAATGCCTCTCATAGAGAAGTCAAAATCATTTTCTCTCTACCCTTCTGAGTTCTTAGCTGAGATCCCTGTAATAAAAGATAGATTAACAAGAAAAAGATAAACAGTTTATTAACATGTATACCTCATGTATGCGTGGGAGATATCTAGGGAAAAATTAGTAACTCTTTGAAGTGGCTTAGAATTGAGGCTTAAACATCATCTTAATAGGGAAGGGGAGGGAAGGATGTAGGCCTCTTAGGGGAGAGATGATTTTTAGAAAAGATGAATGGGCCCTTAGAGTAGATGGGAGGTAGGATAGTTTGTGACAAGGTTTATCTGGATATGGCGTCGACCGTTAGTCTCCTCTCCTGTGATAAGAGTCAATCCTCTCTGGTTGATGGAACTCCCAGGGAAAGGGTTTATGACAATTGGGTTCCTTTTGGAGGCTCTGTCTTTAGGCAAATATGGAGAGTTCACAGAAAGCATCTCCCTGCCTTTGCTGTTTTTCAAGTGCTTATAGTTCAAAATAATCCATATACCAAAGCAGCATATTTTGAGGTGGCATGTCCTGAACACCTAGAGTCCTTTTTTAGGGTGGCATGTTATGCTATCCTTCACTCTTTTTTTTTTTTTTTCTGTGAGGAAGATCAGCCCTGAGCTAACATCCATGCCAATCCTCCTCTTTTTGCTGGGGAAGACCAGCTATGAGCTAACATCTGTTGCCAGTCCTCCTCCTTTTTCTCCCCAAAGCCCCAGTGGATAGTTGTATGTCATAGTTGCACATCCTTCCACTTGCTGTATGTGGGACGCAGCCTCAGTATGGCCGGAGAAGCGGTGCGTCGGTGCGCGCCCGGGAGCCGAACCCGGGCCGCCAGTATCGGAGCGCTTGCACTTAACTGCTAAGCCACAGGGCCGGCCCAGTCCTTCACTCTTAATACCCTCTAAAGCTCAGAGATCCAGACAGGGCTTGTGGCTACATAGATGCTTTGTCTCAGCGTTACTTAGCACTTTTAGACAGTGTTCAAGTCACATTGCTAAATTATCTCACATTTTATAACATGATTTTGGAAATATTCCTATATGGTTTTCTGTTATTACATTTTCCAAGTGTGAAATACACAGTAATAATGTGTATAAAACAGGCACACAGAATATATGCTAACAATGGTGATAGAGTGGATACCCATCAGCCACCTTTCTGGTTAGGAAATCAGAGGTTGCCACTTCCTCGCTATCTTAGAAGCTTCCTGTATGGCTTTCAGTTTTCCATCCCCTTTCTCTTCATAGACATGAGTATTTTCTTGTTTTTGTGATAAGGATTCTCTTGCCTTTCTTTACAACCCTACGTTCTGTGCGTGCATTCCTCAGTGATATATTGTTTAATATTGTCTGTTATTAAACTTCATATAAGTTGAGGCACACTGAATATTCTTTTGTGACTTTCTCTTCTGCTTCACATACGCATTGCTGAATAATATTCTGCTTAATGAATATACCACAATTTATCCAATCTACTGGTGGTAG